TATATATATATAATTGTTATTATTATTACAATTATTATATTATTGTTGCTTTTGTTAAAATAATCACAAGATGTTCAAAAGATGAATATTCAGTTTTTTTCCCCCAGTAGTCTGTTTTATTCAAACAATTATGAACTTTTTGAATTTAGATACAGAAGAACTTTGCCTGTTGAATATTAAAAACAAATGAACAAACAAAAAATCTGGATCTCCATGATGATTACTCAGTACATCATTACTCGGGTAATGATTATATGATTTATTCAATGTTTAATAATCTGAGTTTGAATATTATTTTGCGTGATCTTTATAGCCATAGTGAAAGCAACAATAGATATTTTACCTCAGATCTTGAAAATAAATTAAAGCAAACTTGTACGTTAAAACTGTAAACTCACTGATAACCAACACGTGTATTCCATAACAAATATATCAGTCACTCACTCACTCACTCAAAACTGTTCAGTCCATTCACATTTGAATCATCTATTTTCCGTGTCCACTTTTCATGTTGAGAAATGTCAATGCCTGTTGATGCTTTACTTTTCTTGAATTATTTTTTTTATTGAATAAACACCTGGGGTTGTGTTTGTTTTCTTTTAACAACTATCTAGCAGTTTTTAATGTTTTTCTGTAGGAGAAGGTACCTTCCCGCCATGCAATTCGAAATACCTCTAGTTTTGCTTTCTTCCAGCTGCGCTCCATTTTCCGCACTGCTCTCTTTAGGGTGCAAGTGTGCTTGTTATACCACAGTGTCGGACTGTTTTTCTTAATCTTCCTTAAGCATAAAGGAGCAACCAAATGCTCTTTTCTAAAGTGCTAGAAAAGAGAGTCCATAGTTTCTGTTACATCATCAAGATTTTCTGAGCTATTGGATATGCTGAGGAATTTAGATAAGTCAGGAAGATTACTTACAAATAAGTCTTTTGTGGTAGAAGTGATGGTTCTACCATATTTGTAACAAGTAGTTAAATTTACAGATTTAGATATATGGAGTACACACGAGACTAGATAATGATCTGAGATATCATCGCTCTGCTGCAGAATTTCAATGCCATTAACATAAATTCCATGTGACAGTATTAAATCTAGAGTATGATTTTGACAATGTCAACCAATAATCTAAATCTGATAGCAAACCTTCTTTCACTAGGTGCTGGTCCTGGTGTTACTGGTATTGGTGGTGTACCAGGCGCAGGTGGACTCTTTCCTGGGGCAGGGGGTGAGATAAATTCTGTGCAGTAGTGCTAAATGACAGTCACTTTATTAGAATGATTCACCACTGATAACTGTTTTGTGTTTTCCCATGTGTCAAGGTCCTGGTGCCCTCTCCCCTGCTCAGGCAAAAGCTGCTAAATATGGTAAGCATGTATCCATATTTAGGATCCTTCGTATTCAGATATACCATGGTTCTAATTTCTGCTTCTGGGGGGCCACTGTCCTGCAGAGTTTCAATCCAGGTACTGTAGCTTAAACCCCAATCAAACACACCCAAACAAGCCAGTCAATGTCTTTACGATGGCTAGAAAAGTACAGGCAGGGTTGGAACTAAACTCTGCAGGACAGTGGTCCTCCAAGAGGAGGAATAAAGAACCATGACATATAGCATTGGAAATGTCAAACTGAGAGATCATGGCCCTGCCTTGTTCCAGGTGCAGGAGTAGTTCCTGGTGGTGCTGGGATTGTGCCAGGAGCTGGAGGGGTTTATCCTGCAACGGGAGGTTAAAAAAAACTGTCTATACAAAATATCTAGAAGAACATTAAAACATTATAATGATCATGGAGTCTCAAAACCATTTATTTTTTCTAAGGTCTTACTCCCGCTCAAGCCAAAGCAGCTAAATATTCCCAACATTTCAGTGGGGCAGCTGGAACTGGTGTTGGAGGACTGTACCCTGGAGCTGGAGGTGAGTGAGAACAAACAATCAAATCACTTCTTGACAAAATATCCATAGCCACGTTTCCACTGTCGGACCAAAAGCGAGCGTGCTAGTGTGTGCCAGGGCCAGTCGCATTTCCACTGTCACTTCCGGGGCTTGATCGTGCCTCATCGGGGCTTCCTCGGGGCCAACGCCCAGGGTTTTTTGTCCCGCCAAATACCTTGGGCCAAAGCGGGCCAACTGGGGCTTGAGGCGTGGTCAAGGTGAAAGGCGGAGTTTATCTCCGGTAAGCGAGTAGTCAGGTAAGAGTGTCTGCGGCAAGATGCGCATTTCGCTGTATTACGTCGTGCAAAGAACTCGAACTAAACTGAAAATGGAGAATCGCCAGTACTGGTCTGTGGAAGATACCAGGGCTCTTCTAAGCATTTGGGCAGAGGACAATGTACAATGCCAGTTTGATGGCGTCTGCAGGAACGAAGATGTAATAAAATACATCACTGCTGAACTCGCAAAGCTAAGTATCCAGCGCATTATGATGAAAGTTCAAGAAATAAGTTAAAGAAATTGCGGGTGCAGTATAAAGCCATAAAAACACACAATGGACAAAGCGGTGCCCAGAGAAGGTCCTTTCCATGATTTGACATTATGGACAGTGTGCTGGGTCACCGTCCCTCCATTAGTGGAGAGACCACTCGGGATACTATGGCAGCTACAACAGTCGGTGAGTTAATTTACCTTGCTAGCAACCCAACGTAACATGCAAAACAGATAAAATATTGCTAGTGACTGACATGCATGTGTACTTATTTATGTATTTATTTTTGATTTTGTTTTTTTTTTTGTGTTAGAAATGGAATCTCAGAGCGATTTCTTGGAGTCTGAAGTTGAGCAAGGACCGTTTACACCTTCGCTGCTAACATCTACACCTGGTATGCTACTATAAACAGATTCCACCAAAGAATTATTGCATATTTGTATGTTTGTTGTCAGTAAATAATTATGCCTAAATGTATGTTTATTACAAAGACACGACAGTCCCCAAGACATTACAGTAATCAGAGGGGGATCACATCACATTCCACAAAGGACCAGACCAGATAATTTGGAGTGTAATGTACCTGCTAAATAGATTGATCAAACCTTACAGATATCACAATACCTGAATTCAGAGTACATCTCAGATGTGGAGCTTATTGTTCATGTATTTTTTTTTTCTGTTTGCGCGACATAACACAGCAACAGCTGGAAGAAGAGCTTGAGTTAAGAAGAGAAGAAATGAACAAAGAAATGATGATGAGAAGAGAGGACGAGTTGAACATGCGAAGTCTGAACTACCGAGGACGCAAGTCCAAAATTTGTGTACTTGGTATTAAGAAATGGTCTTGGACTGGGAAGAGCAGTTGCGCACAGTCCTACGTCACTAGACTATTTGCTTAATCTTCACGGTACTTTAGGCCACGATGGAAACGCAGACAGCAACAGGTCTGGGGGAAAAAAAGTTCCTGGGACAAATTGTTCCAGGTAATTTCGGTGGAAAAGCAGCTAATGCCTTTATGATTACTAGAAAAGTACAGGCAGGGTTGGAACTAAACTCTGCAGGACAGTGGTCCTCCAAGAGCAGGAATAAAGAACCATGACATATAGCATTGGAAATGTCAAACTGAGAGATCATGGCCCTGCCTTGTTCCAGGTGCAGGAGTAGTTCCTGGTGGTGCTGGGATTGTGCCAGGAGCTGGAGGGGTTTATCCTGCAACGGGAGGTTAAAAAAAACTGTCTATACAAAATATCTAGAAGAACATTAAAACATTATAATGATCATGGAGTCTCAAAACCATTTATTTTTTCTAAGGTCTTACTCCCGCTCAAGCCAAAGCAGCTAAATATTCCCAACATTTCAGTGGGGCAGCTGGAACTGGTGTTGGAGGACTGTACCCTGGAGCTGGAGGTGAGTGACAACAAACAATCAAATCACTTCTTGAGGCACTTAGAAGCCACTGCACAAAATATCCATAGCCACGTTTCCACTGTCGGGCCAAAAGCGAGCGTGCTAGTGTGTGCCAGGGCCAGTCGCATTTCCACTGTCACTTCTGGGGCTTGATCGTGCCTCATCGGGGCTTCCTCGGGGCCAACGCCCAGGGCTTTTTGGCCCGCCAAATACCTTGGGCCAAAGCGGGCCAACTGGGGCTTGAGGCGTGGTCAAGGTGAAAGGCGGAGTTTATCTCCGGTAAGCGAGTAGTCAGGTAAGAGTGTATGCGGCAAGATGCACATTTCGGTGTATTACGTCGTGCAAAGAACTCGAACTAAACTGAAAATAGAGAATCGCCAGTACTGGTCTGTGGAAGATACCAGGGCTCTTCTAAGCATTTGGGCAGAGGACAATGTACAATGCCAGTTTGATGGCGTCTGCAGGAACGAAGATGTAATAAAATACATCACTGCTGAACTCGCAAAGCTAAGTATCCAGCGCATTATGATGAAAGTTCAAGAAATAAGTTAAAGAAATTGCGGGTGCAGTATAAAGCCATAAAAACACACAATGGACAAAGCGGTGCCCAGAGAAGGTCCTTTCCGTGATTTGACATTATGGACAGTGTGCTGGGTCACCGTCCCTCCATTAGTGGAGAGACCACTCGGGATACTATGGCAGCTACAACAGTCGGTGAGTTAATTTACCTTGCTAGCAACCCAACGTAACATGCAAAACAGATAAAATATTGCTAGTGACTGACATGCATGTGTACTTATTTATGTATTTATTTTTGATTTTGTTTTTTTTTTTGTGTTAGAAATGGAATCTCAGAGCGATTTCTTGGAGTCTGAAGTTGAGCAAGGACCGTTTACACCTTCGCTGCTAACATCTACACCTGGTATGCTACTATAAACAGATTCCACCAAAGAATTATTGCATATTTGTATGTTTGTTGTCAGTAAATAATTATGCCTAAATGTATGTTTATTACAAAGACACGACAGTCCCCAAGATATTACAGTAATCAGAGGGGGATCACATCACATTCCACAAAGGACCAGACCAGATAATTTGGAGTGTAATGTACCTGCTAAATAGATTGATCAAACCTTACAGATATCACAATACCTGAATTCAGAGTACATCTCAGATGTGGAGCTTATTGTTCATGTATTTTTTTTTTCTGTTTGCGCGACATAACACAGCAACAGCTGGAAGAAGAGCTTGAGTTAAGAAGAGAAGAAATGAACAAAGAAATGATGATGAGAAGAGAGGAACTGGATTTTGAGGCACAACTGAGACGGGAAGAGATGTCTCAGAGAAAGAAGGAAGCTGAGGCTTTTGCTTCGGTCGTCACAAATTTGGCAACAGCTCTTCTCCAGAGAAAGTAGATGGACACTACAGCTTTTCTGTTTGCTTTAAAGCACACTGTCTTAGTTTCTTATTTTTAAATTATTTTTATTTATTATTATCTGTTTATAAATAGTATGTTTCACAAACACCTGTTTGTTGTGTATACACATTTTCAAAGCACGCTTGTATTTGTTCACTGATACACATTTAATATATGAATAAAGTTATAACTTTGCTGTTTTACTGGAGGCTATTGGAAGTTATTGCATAATGCCGAGTTCACACTGCACGATTTTTCACTCGCCGACAGGTTTTGCAAAATCGCCCAACAAATGCCCGAAATCGGAGGCAAATCGATGCTCGTTCACGCGAGTGACAATCACGCAGTGTGAATTATCAAAGACGCGATCGATTCACAATCACGCAGTGTGCAATGATTTCTGACTGAAAACGACATCGGCGATGGCCTACAGCCAACGAGAGACCAAGATACAAGGCAGAGGGAAGTTCGGGGAGGAGTTATAGACCAGAATATCAGTATTTTAATAGATATATGAACAATTATATCATACAGAAACAAGCACAAACATTTGCTTGACCAGCCACAACATCAGCATACGGACCAGTGTTGCCAAATCCGCGATTGCCGCAGGTTGTTTTTTATGTCAGCAGGTTGAAGCGACACCAATAACGTGATATTTAGGCCCTGGAATGTGAATTGTACCTGGGGAACCCCGCCAAAAAAATGTGTATTTTACCCCCCGAACGTGATTTTTACTGGGGGACCCCTCGAAAGCAATTGGGCTATTTTCAGGCTAGTTTTGAGTAGTCATTGGGCGGGTTTTGTAGCTGTCGTCGTATTAATGTTAATGTATTAATATTAATGTTACTTAATAAAAATAGTCATTAATTTTTGTTAGTCCATGTCAGTTCACGGTGCACTTACTCATGTCAGAACATAAAGCTTTTGATTTTAATAACTAGCAAATGCCAATATGATAAAAGTAAAAGTGAGTGCACAAAAATCTAAAAGACTTTGTGTCTCAAATTTACAAACTGTTAATTCATTGCTATTCAAAAAAGGTCCTATTCAAATAGAATCACTTATACTATCACGCAGATATTGATATGGACAATTATGCTTTTATGATAAGCACATTACTTACATGGCTATCTGATGGGTGCCTTTTGTTCCCTGTTTAAATCAGGTCCTATTCAGTAAGAGTGATGATTTACACTATCAGCTATTGTTAAAGACAACTACGCATAGTGATGGGAACATTATTTAAATGCATGTCTGATGAGTACCTTTTGTCTTTTCTTATTTAAATTTGGTCATACGCAAATAAGGTTCTATATAAACTGCTTTACATCGTCAAAAAAAAAAACACTAACCGACAAACCTTAATAACGTTAACACACACATTTGTACCTAAATAAAGACATTAAAAAAGTTATACTAGAAGTAGAACTGTGTAGTTATTTGTTTTCAATAGTCTGTAGATAGTATGATGGCAATGTAGTGTGTATTATTGTATTATTGAAATGATTTTGTTTGATGTAATACCAGTTGGATGAAAGATTTGTGTGTAGGTCATAAAAACAGACAACCAAAGCTTCTTTTCAAGTAATTTATTTGTAGCACACACAATGTAATGATGTCTTACAAATATTGCTGTTGCATGAACAACTGTAGCAGAGCACTTCTTACATCAGAACGGACATCACCAACATAACAAGATGGGCATTCAGCATCTTCATCACGGCCACCACCCCACTCTGGCACAAATCTAGCCATGTATAATTCACACAGGTTGTGCAATGTACAACATGTCTCCACCATATCACATTTACATTGCAGTCATTTCTTTTACTGAGACACTTCCACCATCCTATCAACCTCCCAAATGCATGCTCAACCACACAACGGGCTCGACTTGTTCTCACGTTGTATAGTTCTTGACCCTCTGTAAGCCGGCCAGTGTCAGGATATGGTTTTAACAACCATTTCTGCAATGGGTAAGCAGAGTCACAAAGAATAAAGTAGCCTACATCAGTTCCACAAATATTTGTTACTCTGCCAGAGAAGGCATTACTGTCTGAGGCCCAAGTCCAAAGGCGTGACTTTCTGAGGACGCTAGCATTGTGTTCCCTTCCTGGCTGTCCAACATTCAGGTCCCAGAACATCCCTTTGCCATCTACAACTGCTTGTAAAATGATGGAGTGCCAGTCTTTTCTATTGAGATTGGTATTGTGGAGGTTTCAAAATAGGGACGTGAGAACCATCAATAGCACCCACGCACAGTGGAATTCCAAACCTCTCCTTAAAATAATCTGCCATCACAGACAGTTGGGCTTGATCAGGTGTTTTGATAAATTTTGGGCGAAGTATTGCAATCACAGCCTTGCAAAAGTCATGCACACAGTGGCAAACAGAGGTCCTCTGATGAGTACCTTTTGTCTTTTCTTATTTAAATTTGGTCATACGCAAATAAGGTTCTATATAAACTGCTTTACATCGTCAAAAAAAAAAAACACTAACCGACAAATGCTTAATAACATGTTAACACACACATTTGTACCTAAATAAAACTTTACAGTATAAAATAGGAAAAATAGTGTGTAATAATGAAAAAGGACAACAGTAAACACTCAATTTCTGTTAAAGTCAGTTCATCATTGATTCAGTGATCGTCCAGCTCAGTTCAGTTTAAATAGTATGTGCAATCAAGTTGACAATTTCGCTGGAAGTTAAGTGTCCCTAACTAAGCCAGCCAGAGGCGACAGCGGCAAGGAACCAAAACTCCATCAGTGACAGAAATCGAGAAAAAAATCCTTGAGAGAAACCAGGCTCAGTCGGGGGCCAGTTCTCCTCTGGCCAGACAAAACCAGCAGTTTAATTCCAGTCAGATTGTGCAGAGGAGTCTTCTGGTTCCCGTGGTCTTGTCCCGGTGGCCATCTAGGAGACAAGGTCTTCACTTGGGATCTGTCTTTGTGGCTCATCTAGTTGTCCTGGTCTCTGCTGACATTCAGGGATGTAGAGGTCATCTCTAGGATAAGTACTGGATCTGGGTGACTGCAGTGACCATCTGATCTGGATACAGTCTGCATCTGGGTGGCTAAGTTGACCTCAGAATAAGAACGAAACAGACTAATATTAGCGTAGATGCCATTCTTCTTATGATGTAACAAGTACGTTGGGTGTTATGGGAGGTGTTCCCGGTTCCGGATGACCTAAATAATGCAGACTAACAATCCTTTAAGAGAATAATAGAAATGTGTTAGTGTGTTATGTGTAAGCCAGGTTAAAGAGATGGGTCTTTAATCTAGATTTAAACTGACAGACTGTGTCTGCCTCCCGAACAATGTTTGGTAGATTGTCCCCGAGTTTGGGCGCTAAATATGAAAAGGTTCTGCTGCCCACAGTTGATTTTTATATTCTAGGTATTACCAGTAGCACTGATAGTGGGATACAACCACATTTGGATGATAAGAGCAGGTCATTTTTAACTCTAAAGAGAGCAGTCTCTATATTATGATACAGTCTAAATCCAGACTGGAAAACCTCATAGATACCATTTTTCTCTAGGAGGGAACATAGTTGTGAGGATACTACCTTTTCT